TTTTGGCCGCAGAAATTTTTGTAGTCTCTGCTCGCTTCTCAAAAACCAAGAAACCAAAGGATGAAACAACAACTCTTGCTACTGAACCAGAAGATGTAGAAAACGACCCAGCACCAAAAAAGTGTGGCAAGTGTAAAAACAAATGTAAATGTGGATATGACGTGGGGGAGATTTTTAATTATTTCCTTTAAAAATTTTTTTAATTATTAGGATTGTAATAAATGCTATTGCAAGGAAAAATGCTGGGCTTAAAAGAATGTAGAAATCAAAGAAAGGAAAATAAAAAGAGAGATAAACGAAATTTAATGGATAATAAAATTTGTTAAAAATAAATATTAAATAAAATAAATATTCTTAAAAATTGATGTAATTTTTCTCAGCTCGACGAGCTCTTTAGGATAAACATTTAAATAATTTATCCACAAAAACAAAAGAATTTTTAAAAATTATTGACAGCCCCAAAGTAAATAAGTTCAATTATATATATTTTTTAAAATATGTTTGGCCATGGATAAGTTCTAATAATTAAATTCTACTAACTAAAAAATTATTTAAGGTACTTCCCATCATGAAATCAATTTTATAAGTTTAAATGTGTAATTTAACGCGAGTTCTTTTAAAATAGTAAAAAGTCAAAACTCATTAAAAAAATTTCTGTAATTAACATTTTAAAATGAGTTATTCAAAATTTGGTTGTCCAAATAAGTGGAGGGTGCAATATACATATATTAAATAGCCCAATATGGATAATAATTCGTCAGCCCCAATGGATAGCTTATACTAGACTAAACGTATTTACTCGATTAATTCCCCTCTCTCGAATAATTCCCCCTGCTACGGATTAGTTGAAACAATAATCCCCCTCCCCCAAATACCCTACTACACGTTCAAATTACAAAACTCGAATAATTCCCCTCCCGTGATAATTCCCCATGCCACGGATGGGTTGAAAAAATAATTCCCCAGTGGAATTAATCGAGTAAATACGGTATACCTTGATATCCGCCTTAGAAGTAGGGTTGAGCGGGATCGGGATCCCGGTCGGGATCGGGCGGGATTATCCCGGGTTTTTCAAATCCTGATCCCGATTTTTCTGATCCCGCTCCCGAAATATATATCCCGATCCCGATCCCGGCCAATCTCAATCCCGAGCCGGGATCCGGGATCGGGATATATATTTCGGGAGCGGTTGTGCATCAGATCCCGATGAAAATCCCGACTTTATAAATTGACTAGAAGTCTGCAAAATAAAGTTAACATAAGAGGGGAGGCATAAAAGTTAAAAGTTAACGAAAGAGGCATAAAAGTTAACGAAATATTGAGTGATTTGGTGTGATATCGAGGGATCAAGAAGGGTTGAGGGGAGTATCGGTGGATTTGGAGTATAGAGGGATATCGGTGAATTTAAAAGGATTAAGTTAAATTTGAAGAGAAATCGAGGGCTTAAGAAATATTACTACATGAATATATCACTTAATCCCTCAATCTCAGTTCTTAATCGTCAGCATTAATCGTATAGACTTGAACGCACTTAATCGTATAGACTTGAACGTTTAACTTGAATGCCCTTGGCGTTCCAAAATTAAAAATATTGCCTGCGGCGCTTAAAAGGGAGAAAATCTGGCCCCTAATCCTTCCAAATTTTTCAAATTTTTTGCCTGCGGCGCTTAAAATGGGAGAAGCCTAATCCCTTTTATCCCCCTCCCCCTACATACCTTATCCTCCTTTAATTCCCTGAACCGGAAAGTAAATCATGCGTCTATGAGACATAAACTCATTATTTCAGCACCGCAGTAGAAATTTTAGAATTATATTGAGTCGTATGTGAAGAAAATAAAAATTTAAAAGTTTTTAAAAAATTTTTAGTAAATCCCGATCCCGATTTTTCAATACCGGTCCCGATTCGGGATCGAGATCGGGATCTCTATTCCAAATCCCGATCCCGATTTCGGCCAATCCTGATCCCGTGTCGGGATCCGGGATCGGGATCACCATTCCAAAATCCCGATCCCGGGTTTTTCTCTAAATCCCGATACCGCTTAACTCTACTTAGAAGAAAGGATACATTTTAAATATGAAGTTATTTTATGGTTATTTTATTGTCTATATTTAATTGATAGGGAAAAAGTACTTTATTTTATTCTTGTATTCTCGCATTATGAAATTTTAAGGTACCTTCATCGATAAGAAAATTTTTTTTATTTTTATTTAATAAATTTATTTTCGTGCTTTACTCTTTTTTACATTTATGTACTTCCTTTTAAATTTACAAAAAAATTTTTTTCTATAAAAATTCCCAACGGAAAATAAAAGGAAGATGTAAAGAGATTTTTCTATTTAAAACAATTTTCAATTACTTTAAACTGACAGAAAATAGCTTTTCCCAAGAGAAATTTTATGGAAGAAAAAAAAACTTTTTTGGTCTTTAATCTTTTTTAACCAACCAAAAATTGTTTCCTTTTTTTAAATTTATTAAAAAAAATTTTTTTAATATAGGTATGTAACTTAATTACCTATTTATTTGTATTATTTAATTATTCAGAAAAATTTTTTTCCTTGATATAATGCCACAATTTTCAATTACTTTAAAACAGAAAGTTCGAGAAAAGGTGCATTAATCGAATAAATCAAACCGGAAAAAAGGAGTTAGTTAGATATCGCTAGAGAGCGAGCTAGATCTGGATCCAGACCTTAATAGTTAAAAATAATTTTTTTAAAATAAAAACTATGTTCCATAGCTAAATTTAATTGGCAAATTTACTATAAATACCGTAACTGCTCGAATAATTACCCTGAATAATTATTGTTAATTGTTTGAGAAAAGGTGCATTAATCGAATAAATTGAACCAAAATTTTTGTAATAATAAATTTTTAAATTTATTTTCAAATATTAGACGATCAAAGACTTTTTTTCTAATTTTATGACTGATAAAAATAATAATTTTTTAATCGAGTTAAAGGTAGTGTTGACAAATCCTGTCATTTTTAGCACGGAAAAAAGGAGTTAGTAAAAAGGAGTTATCTCTAGAGAGCGAGCTAGATCTGGATCCAGACTTTGATTTTTTTTGGATCCAGAGTCCAGATCAAGGCATTTTTCAGCATTCCTTGATTTTTCCTTGACTCAAGGTCAAGAATCTGGTCAAGGTACGCAACCAAGGTCAAGGATCAAGGTCAGTGTTTTTTGAAAATCTCGCTCTCTAGATATCTCTAAAAATCTCAATTCTCAATTAGTTATAGTACTCTTTTAACAGTATGGTGAAGTACCCAAAATTTGTAAATTAATATTTGTAACAATTATTTTTAAATTTATTTTCAAATATTCGATCAAAGACTTTTTTTTCGAATTTTGTGACTGATAAAAGCGTATAAATTATAATATAATTTTTATTGTTTTTTTAACCAATTAAAATAAATTTATTTAGTATTGAAAAAATATTTATTTGTTGTTAATTTCTTATCGTTCCTTTTCATTTTTATTTTTCTTTTGTTTTTCCGTCAGCTTTTTTCAAAATAAAATAAAAAATAAATAAAATATGCATCACAGACTAAGGAATGCTCTCCTAATTTAGAATTGAAACACACACATTCCCAACAAAAACTTGCTAATTTTTTGATAGAAAAACAGAAAAAAATAATTAAACATTAAGTTTCGTATGAAATTAAATTTTAAACTCAATTAAATTATTTTTTAAAATTATTTTAGGTAAATAAAAAATTTGAAATTCTTAGGAATCCGTTACTTGTTCTCCTGTTGTTTTAAATATCAATTTTCCCCCAGAAAACCAAAATAAAGGATAAATGGACCCTTTCCAGGAGTTAACATTTTTCTGTTTTTTGTTTACGTGCAAGGGGTCCTACAGCCTAAGCATTAGTGTTTCACCGGTCAGAAATTTTGAGCTGCCCGGAAAAGGATCCAATTTGAGTTCCTAATCCCGGACTTCCGGTGAAGCATTTTCTAAAGCAGGTTTGACCCTTCAAAATATAGATCGGACTGGGATGGGATCTCGAATAGAAAATTTTGTTGAAATTTCGATCTTGATTCTCTTACGACCACCTAGTGTCCGGTCTCTACTTCAGACCCTTTAAAATCTCTTTTAGATCCAATAGCTTACATACTTATTTACCTAATTTTAAAATTTAATTTTTAAATTTTTTTAAAGAAATTATTTAAATTATATAAATGATACTTTTAAAATTATATGGAGATACTCATAATTATTTTCACAACAATAATAATATAAATAATAATTTATTACAAACAACAAACTTTAAGGATCTTAATTTAGCTAATAATTCTTATAAACATTCCCTTGTTGAGTTCAACGGAAATGATGTAGATTTTCAACCTCAATGGTAATGGGAAAATTAATTTGAGGAGAAACATTTGCGGACAATATTTGCGGATGACACATAATTATAGGGACGATGCTTTTCTACATATATTTGGGTAATTGAAGGGCCGATTTTTCGGCTAAGATCATGAAAACCTGTGAACCTATATTTTTGAAATGTCAGGGTCAGGCCAACCCCTGAAAATTCTGATAGAGCCTGGCCGGTGTTCAAATTCTAATTGTACATAAAGATAGTAATGTCCCATGTATTCTTGCATAGATACATTGGATTAAGACAGCTGCTAATGGCACTCAGTAGAGGCGTCTGATACTCCTGGCTCTGAGTCTTGATTCAAGACTTTTCTTGGGTTTTTTTCGGTCTTGGTCTTGGGGTGAAGTCTTGCTCTTGAATTTTTTGAGGGTTTGAAAAATAAGTCTCGCACGTCTCTAGCACCCAGTCTTTTATTTTCAATCACCTTCTAAAGAGCCATTCAATTAGAGGCCATTCACATGGAGAGATGGCATTCTATTAGAGATTTCACTTAATATATCTGGTTTTTAAATGTCAGCAAATGTTTGTCCGCAATGTGTCCATATTTAAAAAATATTAAATAATTATCTCCAATTTATTTTTTTCTTAAAATAGGTTTTGGCTTATACTTGTTGCTATGCCTATTTCTTGTATTATTGGTATATGAATATTAAAATAAAAATCTCAAAAAATTTTTTAAACATCGAAAGGTAACACCCTTGTTGTAGCTGCCGTTCTTTCAAACAAATCACTTCAAACTCCTACCAATTATTTGTTATTAAGTCTTGCCTGTGCTGATTTAATGGTCGGCACAATGGTTATGCCTTTCCATATTTATATGACTGTAAATTATTTTTTTGGAAATTTTTAAAAAATTTTTAAAAAAGGTTAATTCACTTCATTGGCATTTATCTATAACTATTTGTTATATGTATTGTGTACTTGATGTTCTTGCCTCAACTTCTTCGATTATTCATTTATTGTTAATTAGTATGGATAGGTTATTAAATTTTCTTTCTAAATGATAAATTGGATAAAACCATCTTTTGGGTTGAAAATTTTATATTGTGCTGTGTCTTATCTTTGATAAGGGTATCGTTTAGATAGCACACACACTTTAGAAACCCAAAGAATTTTTTAGATAATTCATTTATTGTTAATTAGTATGGATAGGTTATTTAATTTTATTTTTGATTATTTTTTGATAACGATGATGGATTCCATTGTAACTATCTTCGAAAATAAGGAGTTCACGACATTTTTTAGGTCGTGATTCCCCAACTCTGAAATATCTAAAAACGGACTTCATTATAGGAACCACCATGGGTTGAAAATTTTTATCCTATAATGGAGTGTATCTTAAATTGGAGTTATAGTTTAGACAGCGCCTCAAACTAGTGACCAACCAAATTTTTATTTATAAGACGTATCCTTCTGATTCCTATTAATAGTGATACAATGAAATTTAAGTTCAATCATGAATGACCTCCTATATTGCATGTTCCTCCCAATTAGATTATTTTAAATAATTCGCCTTTAAAGCTTCAACATATCCTCCAAGCAACAAGTTCAGGCTCTGGCCAAAATTCAAGTAATAACAGTAACAACACAAAAGAAGACCGACCAAAAATATTATTTCGTTCATCAATCGAAACTTCAATTGATTGTGATGATCTGAGCAGTATTAATTCAATAAATAGTAGACCACCTTCTATTTTATTGGATGCAATAACTGTTCCGCCTAATGAAACTGAGACTTATCAAAAAACTAAATTGAATATTTGTGGTTCGAATTTTAAAATTATTAAAAATATTGTTGGTTGAATAGTAATGGTTGATCAGTATTTCATTTTTGAAAAAACAGATCCTAGAATAAACATACACCTACTATAGTCAGACCTTACAATAAGTTTCTCCTTCGAGGCTGATAATATTATACCTTATAATGAAGTGAATCTTATATGTATGGGCTCCAATCAAAGCCTAAGCTCCAATAAAATTCTTAGGCTTCAAACAAGTCCTAAGATCGATGCCTAACCATTGTCCAATCCCACCTGGTGCTTCGAAGCTCGTACCAAAATCTCGAAGCACTGATTCCCGCTTATTTGTTAGTGGCTAATTAAATTTAAAAAAACAACTTAAATTGTGGTGTGATTTTATATTGAGATCCTTACTAGATAATATTTTTTAATATACCTACATAAATGTTAAAATCATAGAAAAATTTTTTTAAAGAATTAGAATCCCGCTTTCTAACTACTAATAATTTACTTGGAGTTCCACAACAATTTACAGCCACAAAAAGAAGAAGACATTCAGAGGTCGTCTTAAACGGATCCCAAATAAATACAAATATTGGGAAGGAAAATAAAAATGGGAATGCTATAAATTCTTCGCATGCTTTGAAGCTTAAAATGCAACGCCGAAGACATTCTTATCAACCACCCGGTCAAAAGAATAAAATTTCTGGAAGAAATTCGTTACTATTTCCAGAAGATAAGGTAATCTTAAACGGAAGCACTTTAAGGATAACAGAAGAAGAATGAGACGACTTTCTTGGGACAATTTTTGCGGACTCTTCTTGCGGACAATTTTTGCGGACTTTTATCAAAGCGTTCTATGCAAGAAAGAGTCCACAAAATACAAAATATCTCCGCGACCTTTTTAAAGGAAAGATTAATCGCAAAAATAGGCTTCAAGGTTGGGCTCTACGTTGGGAAGTACTGTATGAAAAATCAGAAATTGACTTGTGGAAAATATGCACGAATGTCCGCAAGAAAATCCTCTCTCCTTTTCATAAGCTAATTAAAAGCAAAATTCCGTATCAAAATAAAAATTATTGAAGGATAACAGAAGAAGAATGAGACGACTTTCTGAGTTAATTTCTGGATGGGATAGACCAACACATCCCTCTATAGGCCAAATGATTCAATTTGCAAGAAGAGATTCTGTTTATATGGCCAGAAAAAAATTGGCTGGATTGAAGGATTGGGCACTTGGTTGGAGATTATCTCTTAGATTATAATATTTAATTTTAAAGATTTAATCGCAAAATTGAGATCAAAACAAGGATTAGCCATTAGACGGGAAACTCGTGCGACAAAACTGGTAGCTACTGTGATGGGTATGTAATCTTTTGCGGACAAGTTTTGCGGACCAATATAATGCTAACCGTTTTCCTTCTAAAATTTAAATACGATTTTAGAAGTATCCCAATATTACTATCATCGGATTATATACCTCGGACTACCCTACATATTAGTGTTAGTCATTTGCGATTTTTCGAGATCGAGATCGAGATTATCGAAAAATCTCGATATCGAAAAATCTCGATTTTTTCAAAAATTAATCGAGACGAGATCGAGATCGATAATCTCGAAAAAAATCTCGCGATATCTCGAAAAATATCGTCGATATATCGTCTCGTGACTAACACTACTACATATTCTCCTCCACACATTTTATCCGCAAATCTTATCCGCAAAATTTTGTCCGCAAAAATTTTTATTAAATGCCTAATTATCGTTTAAGGTGTATTTTTAATTTGTTGGGCTCCATATTTTTCAATGAATATATACAAAATATATAAACTCTATACTGATCAATGGATGCATGATACAGAATATATATTTCATTGGCTTAGTGCACTTGGCTATTTAAATTCTTCTTTGAATTTTTTTATTTATTCTGCAATAAATAAAGTATGAAACCGATAAATATAAATTTTAACTTTCTTAGGTACCCCCAATATTAGATTCACTGAATGTAAGATACCTTTAGGTGCATTACTGTTACCTGTTTCATAATGGCCAGAGGGTCCACAATTTAAAATATAGAGAGGGGGGTATAGGGGTTTTGTATCCTAAATTATTGCATCTTATCCCCCCTCCCCCATTTATTACCTGTCTAAATTAAATGTTATGTTCTTTTATGGTCAGAGGGTCCCCCCACCTCAATTTAAATTCAGAGAGAAGGAGGGGAAGTGTAGGTATTTGTAGCCTATATTATTACATTACCTCCCCTTCTCCCATTTAATGTACCTCGTATTATATTGTACGATCTCTTCAGCCCCAAGGGTGTGTCTGAAAATGAGGATTTTTCGACCCATGGATTTTAAACTAAAAAATAATTTTTAGAAATTTCGAATAACTTTTTGGCGTTTACTTGGACTAAAAAGAAGTTGTAGAAGAAAGAGTTGGATGCTTCCACCTCGAAGACCAACAAATTCTGAAAGAATAAAACGACGATTTTCAAAAAAAAATGAAATGAATAATGAAAATAGTCAACAAAAAAGTAACAATAATAATTCTAATATAACAGCTATCGAAAGGGAATTAAATCAACAAAAACAATTAAATTCTCAAAATAATTCTTTTAAAATAAAAATAAAGAAAAATATAAAATTATTAAAAAATAATAAAAATGAGGAGGTTAAAGAACAACAAAAATTGCCAAAAAAAGAAAATTGTAGCAGAGAATTTAGTTATAGAAAGAGATCTCGCCTTGAAAGTCTCTCTGCTTTAATGTAAATTTTTATGTTGGAATTATTTAAAAAAAAAATTTTTTTAGTCCACCATTAGGTAGGCGCCATTCATCAAAAAAGCCTCAAATTGTTGTGGAAGATTTGGCCAACAGTCCGCCAAATTTTCGCGAAAGAAATTCAATTTCTATTTCGGCAGGAGGGGAAACGACTTTTAGGTAATTGGAAATTTTGAGAACTAATGGAGTCCTAAACCTAATTAATTTTGGAAAACGGTCATTAGGGCCACTGGTATTATGTAGCCCTACTTGTTTCGAGGTAGGATAGCAAATAATGTACCGTATTTATTCTAACCTAACGACATGTCGTTTTATTTTCAACCCTCTTCCAGGGTATTAATAAATACTGTATTAAAAAATATGGAACTAATGGTCCGGTATTATTTATGTACTATGTGTACATAGTATTATGACTCTGGATGAGTAGATCTTTTTATTGACACTAAAAAGTTTTATGGCAATTTTTAAATATAATTTATTTTTAATTGGGGGTTTTAATTTATTTTTAATAATTATTTTCATACGGGAAGTTCTTATAGGCAAAGGTCAAGCGAACTGATCTGTCGTTGGAGTGAAAATCTTTCGTAATAGAAGGGTCTCACTATACTAATTTTTCCAATTTAGCATAAGAATTAAGGGTGGCTATTCCTTTACCTAGCTGTTCGAGATGTCCAAATCTCTTGGTCTTGAGTCAAGACTTTTCTTGGGTCTTGGTGTCGAGTCTCTAGTCGTGGAAAATTTTCGTTCTTGGACATCTCTACTGTCTTTCCTCCCCTTTTTAAATATTTATTTTTAATTTAGGCGTTCATCAGAAGATTGTATTCAACGTTCAAGTTCCGAAGTTTTTGGAGGAGGAATTTCTTTCCCAAGTGGAACACACCATTCACACAGAAGAGGTTCTGATATGAGTAATTCTTCTGCTTCTCTCCAATTACATGATGTACATCAAATAGAGGCACAAAGTGCTGAAGAGATGGCACAAGTAGAAATTAAAACTACAGAAATTTTTATTTAGAAAAAATTTTTGAAATTTTGTTTTATTTATTTTTATATTTTTTGTTTTCTAGTTAAATTCCCAATTTCAAATTTCATCATAAAATTTAAAATTATTTAAAAATGATTGAGACTTTATGAATAAATGTCTCATTTTTAAATTCTAATGAAATATAAGGACATAAAGCTGGTAGAAAAAATTACAAAATTGCTCAAAAATTAATTTTGTTTATCAATTATATTAGCCGCGTCAACTGGAAAAAGTGCAAATTTCTAAATTATTTTATACCATTTTGTACCTTAGTTAATGTCGAGTCAATACAATGTCATTAACATAAATGAGACAAAATATTTAATTATTTAATCATAATAATAATAAAAATAAAATTTATAATATTTCTATTAATTAATACACAATAGTCTTCGGATTTTGAATTATTAAACTTATACATGTTAAATTAGGGACTCAAGAACATGCAAATGCATGTTTTGT